GCAGGTGGTGATCAAGTACGTGCCCTACGTGGGGGACAGCAAGCGTGCGCTGGACGAGTACACCTCGGAGATCATGATGGGTGGCACCAACACCATCGTCATCCACAACACTTGCGAGGTGCGTGGGGGGTGACACATCCCCATGGGGGGTGGCACGTCCCCACGGGGGGTGTCTTACCCCTGTGGGTCACCCGCAGGATTCGCTGCTGGCCAGCCCCATCATCCTGGACCTGGCCATCCTGACGGAGCTGTGCCAACGCGTCACCTTCTGCACTGAGGCCGACCCCGAGTTTCAGGGTTTCCACAGCATCCTCTCCATCGTCGCCTTCCTCTGCAAGGCCCCACTGGTCCCCGAGGGCACCCCCGTGGTCAACGCCCTCTTCCGCCAGCGTAGCTGCATCGAGAACATCCTCAGGTACCTGGGAGGGTCCCTGTGTGCCCCCACCCACCCCATGGCCCGTGGTGGCACCCCAAAGTCCTGGTGTCTGGTACCCGAAATGATAACACCAGTGGGTCCAAGTGCCCATGCGTGAGGGTGGCCAAATCCAGTGGGTTCCTGGTGGCCAGGGTGCCCAGTGCTGGTGCTCAATGCCAGTGCCACCAGTGCATCCCAGTGCCCATCACCCATGGGTCCCAGTACCCAAAGGTGCTGGTCCCAGTGCCCGGGGTGTTCAGCACTGGTGGATCCTGGTGATGCCCAGCACCGAGTCCCAGTACAGATGGGTCCTCAGTTCCCAGTGCCTGGGGTGCCCAATGGGAGGGGTCCTACATCAGTTGATCCCAGTGCCCAGTGCCAGTGGGCCCCAGCGTGAATAGGCCCCAATATCTGGGGGGAGGGCACCCAACACCAATGGGTCCCAGTGCCCAATACACCAGCTTCCCACTGGGTCTCAGTGCCCAATGCATGGGGTTCCCAGTACATCCCAGTCCCCAGCACCAGTGGGTCCCAGTCCCCAGAGTCCCCAGCACCAGTGGGTCCCAGTACCCCATACACGGGGCTCCCAATACGTCCTAGTTCCCAATGCACGGGGTTTCCCAGTACATCCCAGTCTACATCCCCAGTACATCCAAATACCCAGAGGGTTGCCCAACAGCCATGGGTGGCTCCCAGGCCCCAGCCCCATG